TATTTAAAATTTAAAAGAAGTTCTTAGGAGAAAACATAGAAAAATATTCCTGTGATTGGAAAGATATTTGTAAGATAAGAAAACCATATTTCATGGACAGTAATAATTAAATGATATAATTATGTAAAAATGTAGACAAGAATAAATAAAAATTCTGGGGAACAAAAATTACAAAACATGTAATAGAGAAAAAGGATATTATCCTTAAATACTAAAAGTTGGTACAAATGAATGAGAAAAATTAGAAAATGTGCAAAAAATCAAAATAGACAATTCATGTTACAAAAAAATGGCCTATTACATATGAATACATGCTCAAAATTTGAAGAAGTAAAAATCAGTATCATATGAAAATATCATAATTTTCTTATCAGATTAAAAAACATAAGAAAACCACTAGCCCCCAGTGCTGGTGGTGCAGCATGAGAACATATAAATATACTTATAGGAATATTCATTTCTATATTGTTGCAATAATAAAAGAAACTTTTACTACTTCCATAGCTGTCAATGGGGCAATAAATAAATTATGTCACCTATGTTAAATAGAGTGTTTTGTTTCCATTTTAAAAAGGAGTATTAACCATAGCATATAATTATATGAAAGACAAATTGAAGATCAAAGTGCATAGATAGCTTTTTTAATATTCTCTCAGTGGGTGCTTCAGGACCATTTACATGATCAGTAACAGAAAATCCAACCCCATTTTGGCTTGCACACAAAGAGAAATGTCCTTGCTCCTGAAACTGAAAACTGTTCCTAGTACGATTTTATTTAAAAATTCAAGACATCATCAGGGACTCCATTTCTCCGTGATTCTCAACTCTGCCCTCCAGGTATTGACCATTCCGGGCCAGGCCAGGGCTAAGGTGAGAAGAGTGAGGCACTTAGCTCAGGTGCAAATTTCAGTGAGTACCAAAAAAATGTAGTAAACAAGATAAATAATATTTTAATGCAATCTTTTAAAAATTAAATGTATGCAAAATATCCATAATGAACAAAGCATCAACATTTTAAATACAGCTAGAATTGATGGTACTATACTGAGTCACATTGGAGCCAGAAGGAAAAGGAAAAAAGGGAGCCCTTGTACACATGTTTTTATGTGTTTTTAAGGGTTAAATTTTTTTCATAATTTTATTTTGAAAATATTATTTAGAGTTTCTTTCATTAAAGACAGTAAATTATAATGAAGTCTAATTTTCACAGAAATAATATATTTAAGCTTAAATTAATGTTGCAAGTTTTAATATACCTACTTTTCAATGTTATATTTTAAGCCATTTTAATATTCTTGAAAAAAAGGACCCTAGTCCCAGTCCTGCATAGCAAAAAATATCCATATCAGTTCAAGATGATATGATGAACACTCTGGATAGTGGCTACTTACACTACATCACCCAGAAGAAACAGGACCTCATTTGAATCAGCAGTTTATTGGGTTTATTCCAAGAAAACCTAACAATCCCAGGAAACAAACATTTATTTTGTTCCCAGGAACTTACCCCAACTCCAGGGAAAATTTTTTCTCAATGTGTGAAAAAAAAAAAACAGTCAGATGCAGACTCTGGAAAAAAATAGGACAGTATTTGTACTTCATCGGCAGAAACCCCTTGGGTGAAAAGAGACCTTCTACCCTACTAGGCCTTTAGGGAGCATCTGGTTTAATTAGAAGCAGACCCCAGCAGGCCCAGTCTCCAGAGATCACTGACTCAGAAACCAGAGAGGGTGGGTAATCTTATGTCCTACCTACAGCAGTCCATATATGCTGCTTCTGCTACGACCCCATATCTAGAGTGGATTTGGGTTGCTGCTAGTCAATAAGAAGAATATTAAAACCCTGCCTATATACCTGCTAGACTTCAATGTACATAGAAACCTGTGGAGATATAGAAGAAATAGGTCAGAGGGAGCTAAGTGCTGTGTATATGCGTACATTGGGTGTGTGTCCATGTGAGGTTTTGGTCATAAAATTAGATAATGTTTAACAGTGAAGGGTCCAGAGATCAACCACAACACTAATGTTTCAAACTAGTCTGTCCATAAGTATATATATTGAACCCTATACTAGATGCTGGAACAGTAAAGATAAATGAGACATATTCTCTGCCCTCACAGAGCTCAAGTTCTGGTGGTTTCACATACTAATTATAATCAGTTGAAACAATAAAAGTCATTGCTATGGAGACCCAGAGAACAAGGTGATCACCCCTGACTTAGGGAGGTTGGCAAAGGCTTCAAAGCAGAGTTGACATCAGCACTCTATCATTTGCCAGCTCTGTGGCCCTTATTAGTTATTCTCTCTGAGCCTTGGGTGCCCCCATGCATAAAACAGAGATAGTAAAGGTACAATTTCATGAGGTTTTATGACAATTAAATAAGCTAATGTGGTAAGGCGCTTAATGTGGTTCCCAGCATAATCTCTTAATAAACATTAGCTATTGTCATAATTATTATATTATCATTAATATTATTATATTATATGTTAATGCATTACTATATGGTGAAGTGTTTTGAGATAATGATGGAAAAGTAAGTTAGGACCAGATTATTAAATTAATGCTCATCTTAGAAATTACCCTGTAGTTCTGTGATTTCTAAACTGTGGCTAAGGGAACACCAGGTTATTTTAGGGAAGGAAGCTGATATGCCATCAAAAACTTCATGTGGACATGGATACAAATATCTATGGTCAAACAGGTCTGGGAAACACCACAAACTCTAGCCTTCTTTTGGACAGCCATGTGTGTGACCCACAGAGCATCACACAGTTCATGCTTATTTGGCCATGGAACTTTTTTTATAAAACATCCATTATGATAGCTGGTATTTATTTCTACAGAATGTTTTGTGGAAAACAGTTCTGTAAGTAATAAACAATACTCAAAAGTATTTGACAGAAAGTAGTATGATCAGCTTTTTGTTTTAGAATGCTTAACATCAAGTCAATGTATGGTTTAAGTTACAATGTAAAAGATTGAAAACATTGAAATCAACTAAGAAACTAAGGCAATACCTGAGGTGAAAGATGATAAGGGACATAAATAAGTGTAGAGGCAATGTTAAGAATAAAATGAACAATACTAACAACTTAGCATTAAATATTTTTAAATACTTGCTTTGAGCTAAGGATTGCATTAAGTGCTCTCTATATGGTTTGTTTCCTCAAATATTTCAACAACCCTATGATGTACTATTGCTATCCCCCATTTTACAGGTGGGGATAAGAACATTAAATAAATTTCACAAGTTTACAGAGCTAGAAAACAATGGGGGCAAGACTTGAATCTCAACATGACTCCAAATACTATCCAGATAACTAAATATTTAGTGGTACAATCAATATGAGTAACAACCAATAACTTATTGAGGAACAGTCCAGAAAGGAAGAAGCTGAGAAATTCCCCAGGGTTTTCGGCCTGATGCAGATGATGGGATCCTCATGATCTATTTTCCAAGGAAAAGAACAGGAATAGGAAGAAATGCTAGCATGATTGGTAGAACTACCAATATATTCTGGAGGAGATATTCAGTAGCCAGATGGTTTTATGCATTTAAAACTCAAGAGTCCTAAGATGGAAAGAGAAACATAGGACTCCTTAGTTATAGGTGATGGGTGAGGAATCGAGTGTACATAACCTTTTCTAAAAAAGCATGAAAAAATGAGGGTCAAGACTGTGAACTCTAAGAGCCTGCTCCAGTTTTGTTAATCTGACCAGGAACAACATGCTATAATTCTTAATAATGTGGAAGTGCCAAAGACAAGTAGAAGAGAAAATCAAGAATACCCTGTGTTGTCCTGGCTGGGGTAGCTCAATGGATTGAGCATGGGCTGTAAACCAAAGAGTCTCCGGTTCAATTCCCAATCAGGGCATGTGCCTGGGCTGCAGGCCATGTTCCCAAAAGGGGCATGCAAGAGGCAATCACACATTGATATTTCTCTCTTTCTGCTTCTCTTCCCTTCTCGCTAAAAATAAATAAATAAAATCTTTTTTCAAAATGCAATTAAGAAAATAGAATACCCTGTGTTCCTACTGCTCTTGTCTATTCCCTGGAGTAAAACACACCACAATAAGCGGTGTGTTTGCTTCCATCATAATATACTGTCTTTGTGAAGAACTGGTTTACTAATCCCTAGGTTTATGGACAAATTTGGCTGATTATTTCAGTGCATGATAGAGATGTATTTTTAACTTCAAGGAGGTAATTGTGCTCTCATTCATCTCTCAAACATCTATGGTGTAGTAAGTATTTTATAACATACTAAGTGTACAAATGAATGACATACACTATTCTGGTTTCTAAGAGTTTATAGTTAATTGGAGGTGCAAATAAATAAACAGCCCATTATAACTCATCACACATATTTTGAGGTTTGTTCAAGACACAATAGACAAACATAGGAACCTTGGATTGCCTAGAAAAAAAATATGAAAAACTTCTCAGGGAAGGCAGTTCTTCAACTGAAATTTGAAGAAAGAACAGGACTTTTCCAGATGGCTAAATAGCATGCATTCTTGGCTGTTTTTCAAAAACACCTGCCATTGTAGACATAGATGGAGAGTTTCTTGAATCTGTACAAAGAAAAAAGGCACATTTGGGAATAAAAAACTGGAACCCCTTCAGATGTTAAATATACAGTTATTTTCATCCATTTGTGTATAATTTCCTTTATGTGCTGTTCATTTCCTTTTGTTTTGGAGTACATCTGTCCTACTGAGTATACCAAATGTTCATATCAGAGGCATGAACAGTTGTTACTTGAAGGTTGTAGGGGAAGGATGGATATGAGAAGAAAAGAGGATAGAAAAAACACAGAAACCAAAAAAAAAAAGGCAAAGAGGAAGAGCCATAAGAGGAAAAGAAAGAGAACTGGAGGAGGAAGATGAAGAAGGAAGAAAATGAGGAAGAGAAGGAAAATCCCCTTCAGTTCAGGAAATCTCTGTATTTCACATCAGTTTCCTTGGTAAAGCTGGAAGGGGGAATTCATAGGAAGCCATCAGTTCAGAGGTGAAGCACAACACCAAGCCTTGATGTCAAAGAACTGGTGGGCTACACCCTCCCGGATCTGCTTAGTCTTTACACCATAGACAATGGGGTTGAGCATTGGTGGTACTACCACATAAAGATTGGCCAGCAGGATATGCACATGTCGAGGAATGTTATGTCCAAAGCGGTGGGTCAGTAAGGTAAAGAAGGATGGAACATAAAACATGAGGATGACACAGAGATGGGAGCCACACGTGCTGAGAGCCTTGTGCCGGGCATCCTGGGAGGGTAAACGAAACACTGCTCGGAGGATCAGTGAGTAAGACACAGTAATAAGAATTACATCCAAGATGACCATGACAATGGGCACTGAGAAGCCATACCAGATATTAATAGTGATGTCAGCACAGGCTAAGCGGGCCACTCCAATATGCTCACAGTAGGAATGGGGGATGATGTTGGTCTGGCAGAAAGGCAACCGCTTCAGCAAGAAAATCACTGGGAAGATGATGCAGAAGCTTCGGGTCACAATGGCCAGAGCAATTCTTCCCACAACAGGCCATGTTAGCACTGTTGAATAGTGCAGAGGAGCACAGATGGCCACATAGCGATCAAAGGCCATAGCTAATAGGATGGCTGACTCTCCCACAAACATCACATGGACAAAAAAGACTTGAGTAACACAGGCATCAAAGGCAATATCATGGTCATGGAGCCAAAAGATGGCTAGGGCTTTTGGTACAGTGGTGGTAGACAGCATGATGTCCGTCATAGCCAACATGGAAAGGAAAAAATACATGGGCTCATGAAGGTTAATGTTCTTGATAATGACCACTATCAGGATGCTGTTTCCCAGGACTGCAGTGATATACATAAGGCAGAGGGGTATAGACAGCCAGCTGTGATATGCCTCCAACCCAGGAATGCCAAGTAAGACAAAAACTGTAGGATGGAAGATGGTAAGGTTGGTGTGAGTCATGATGAACTTTAGGGTCCTCTCTATAATGACTTAGAAGTTGATGAGTCTGCTGAAAATGATAGGAACAAAAAGCATCTCTTGATTGTGTGCTGAGATCACAAAAGGTAGCATGTATTTCTAAATTGTGGAATTCTCTAGGAGAAAGTCCTTCCAGAGAATGTTTGCTTGCATGTAGGAATGACCTCTCGCCCTTCATGCTCATTTGCATGTAGAGCTTCTGCATAAACCACACTTCAGCCTGACCTCAATCACTCTGCCCCCAAAGTTTGGCCCCACCCTACCTTTCTGAGCTCATTCTACCATTTCCACACAAACAGCATTCCCCCCGCTACCCATATTGTACTTTTCCCTTCCTCTAAGACTTTGCTCCCTCTGTGTTTATAGGAATTTCCCTTCTCTTCCATTTCTGCTTATTCAAATTTTAACCTTAAAATACTTCCTTAAGACAAACAACCTTGTAATGGCCTATGTCAATAACAATGTATCTCCCTCCTGAAGACCTATTAGCTAAACTATATTTTAACTTGATTTTATTTAATTATATTAAATTTATCTAGCTATTACCTTAAACATTTCACATGAGACTTGCCTAGTATCTTGGCACTTGTGGCTCCCTGTGCCTGAAAGTGGAGCACCACATAGAAATCCAGAAGGAGCCTGAGGAATATGTTTCTCCACACTGATCCAGATTCAGATCTTCTCTAAAGGCTGTGAGGAATAGGAAAGCTGTGGAAATGGAGAAGGACCATATTCATTGCCTGCTCTTCATGAACTTTTCATACTCCTCTCAAGATGTTCTGTAAAGTTTATATTTAGATCTCCTTACCCTTAAGAACCACCCAAGAAAACTATTCTGAGTATAGGAAATCAATAAAATTAATACATTCCCTTCTGGCCTTATTAATATAACCTCCCTTTCCTCCCTATTTGTTCCTTAACCCTCAAAAAGATTTAGGTTTCCCTGCTGCTATGAAGAATTAATCCTAGACCATTTGGCCTTGCCTCTTCCCACCGCTCAGCTAAGATTTGTCTGCTTCTAAAGCTCTAAAATACCTGTCAGCTATCAGGACTAGGAAAGGATGAATGATTAACAATCTGGAAGGGAATATGGAGAAAAGGGACCAAGGAGAAAATAAGGAGAAAATTGGGAGTATAAAGGTACCCAATGAACACTAGATGGATCTACTGATAATGATGTCCAGAGGACCCCATGGCGAAAGGCATCCAAAGGAATGAAAACCCCAGTTTATGAGTCCATCCTTCTGCCTCAGTGCTGATGCATTTGCCCAGAGCATGATGGGCTGTGGGGAGCAAGCAACAGGTCTCCAGGTAGGTATAGGGAAGGTGATAGGTCCAGATTCAGACAAGTAAGAGTCCCAGGTGACTAATAATTTGACATCCTTCCAGACAGTATATTTTAAATATCCATTTATCTTCTATTTATAGAAGAGACTGCGCTTTACTGAGATAAGCACTGAGAAGAAGGGCCACTGGTAGTGTTGCTCTGCCCCAAATTTATATAAACAAAACTCCATCAGAAAAAAAAATGTGTTTTCCTTTTACATAACACTTCTCAGTACAAGATACCTAATATAAGTGCTCATAAAAATAAATCTGACTTTTCTTACAATTCTAATGATATTTTGTAACCTCAAAAGTGAAGATACCGAAGGTGTCTAACAGCAACAAGACCTAGATGGCTGTTAATGAGGCTCTGGAAAGGAGGTTATTATCTGTGTGAAGGACTTTCATTTCATTCAGTGGCTTCTGAAGCCTCCATCTCAGCCCTGTTGAGGGTTCTTAGTAGGAGGGTTCTAGACTAATTTAGGAAAGAGTCAGGGATGAGAAGAGAACAAAGTCACAGGTACAGGAGGTAAACTCAGACTCTCACAGAAAGTACCTCCCACATCCCTGAGAGACCAACCAGGTGAGTGAGAAAAAAGAGAATAGAGAAGGGGCAAGGATCCATACTAAGTGGGAGAGGACACATACAGTTGGTGAGGACACAGTTCTGGAGCCAGACTTTCTGGGCTAATTCCCCTGTTCTTCCCTGACTAGTTGAATGATCTTGGACATGTTGCCCTGCTCCTGCAATCTCCCCTCCTTTAATCTGTTAGATGTGGGTAACAGTAAACTCTACAAGATAATTAAGAGGGCTAAATGAGTCAATTCACATGAATTGCCATTTTTAGAAGAGTCAGTTATTATTATTGCTGTTGTTATTATTTATAAACCTGTTTGGTCATCATCCTATTGTATTTTTTCCAATAGACAAAACACCTCAATGAATATTCAGCAACATTTAAGTTTTACTCTTCATCCAAATATGATCAAAGGAAATTCCTTTCCTAGGAATAAAGAAGAGGGAAGGGGATGAGAAAAGTGCTCCAAAAGACAAAAATACTCTACGAACAGATCTCTCAGATGGGCCTGGTGTCTCAGAACCAAGACTTAAAGGCTTTGGGTGGTACCCCAGGCAAGTCCACCAGTGATGAACTTAGTTTCGGAACTACCAGGAAGGCTTCCCTCAGATGCTTTGAAAACATCCATCTGTCTCAGCAGAAACAAGGAGGAAGTATTTCAATTATTTACAGACTCCCCACAGATATGGTGAAGCAATGGGACTCATAGCTTCAGATGTAGATACAAGGAGAGCTGGGTATCATAGGGAAGATTCAGTCCAAGCTAAGGAGAAATGGAATCGCTTCTTCAATTTTCTGCCTCTCTTTTTCTTCTGAGTGTCTTTTCCTCCTGTGAGTTCCAACCCTATTTTTTGGTTATGGCCATTCCCTCTTTAAGGTAATGCCCTTTATGTATTCATACAACCTTAATTTTGGAAGACTCTTCTGACATCATAACAACATATTAAAGTGTACCAATAACCCACATCAAATATAATCATTACATAACTATATAGGAATGGTCAGTTACTTTTTTGTGTAGTTGTATTATTTAGACATATATTTAAACAAGTATTATTTTCATTTTGCCATTTTTCTTGTACACGTGCTTGTGATCTTGTGTTTTTCACCACTCTTGGGTTCTACAAATGCACAGGCTCTGTACACTGAAGCCACGTCCCTAATGGGTAAAATAGCCTGCCCCTCCACCCGAGGCTATAAGGGTGGCCTCTGTTTGCAGCACAATACGTGAAAAGATTTGTTGTGAAATGTATCACAAGAAATTTATTTCTAATAACATAGAAGTTACCAAAATTTATAAATAAACCCTTTTCATAAATTGGAGCAAATTCAAATTTATATCTCTAATAACCTTACTCTTGCTCACATACATTTCAAGCAGCATGTAAAATTGTTTCATAATCTAAAACCAGTCTTTTCTACACTGCAGAGGCACTGAGATACCCTTAATTCACTGACACACCCTTAATAGTGATTCACTTTCTTAATAAATAACATCTCAAAAAAATTTTCCACCTACTCATTTGTTTCACCCCCTATAAACATTTTAGGGATTTTTTCAAAATTTGAGTAAGCATATAGTAGTGTGTCATGTGTGAATATCATTTACATATTTTTATGATGTGATGGCAAAACATGATAGAGAACCCCAGCTTCAAAGCACAACCTCTCCTTCTCTCAGTCTCTATACCAGTTCTGCAAAATGCAGTATGGACGACAGAACAAGAAAGATTTCCAATTTAGACGCACCTGAAATTCAGATGATCAAAAGAAAGTTTCCTCAACAATCCCCACTTTGGGGCTGGGGAGTTGACATCACTAAGCAGAGTCTCTCCAGCTGTAGGTACTTAGGAAATATTTGAACAAATAAACCATGGAATTATTAAATTAACCTTTTACTAGCAGATTTGTTTGTTGCAAAAGTTAGTAATCAAAACTTGGGCTATTTTCATGAATAGCCCCCTCTTATAGCTCCTGTCCTGGTATAGTCTGATCCTGACTGCTCTTTGAACTGCACTCAAACATTTTATTAAAAAGTTTCTCTTCCCCCACATTCTCCTGGTGCTTTTCCTGACCCAATTCTGCATTTTCATTTCTACCACTAACCAGCGTCATCCTCCTAGTCTCACTGAATCTCCCTCTGTGCCCATACTCCTCACCCTGTTCTCTGCTTTGCTGCAATCCCGCTTTCATCCTTTGTCTCACTACCCTTTGTCTTTCTCCCACATATCCATTTCCTCTCTCTCAGCTCTAATCTTTGGCCTTTACACAGACTCCTAAATACACACACACACTCCTGCCAATCCCTCCCCTTGTCACCATCAATGCTCTTAAACTCACTTACTGTATCACAGAATCAGCTGAAAGATTGAAGAAGTGGTGGAGAAGGGCTATAAACTTTTGTTTTTTCTGAGAGAAGAGGAATGAGAAGACTGGACTGATCATATTGACATGAGGAGTGTCACTATTCCTGATCCATACATGGTGCTTATATCTAGAGAAAGATAAGCTAACATGCTTCCTTCCTCTGGAGGCAAGTGCCAGAGTTACCCTTGGGATCACTGAGTGTTGAACCAAAGGAGAAATTAAATTTCTAATGCCAAAAGAAAGCACTAACTCTAGAGGAAATCAGTAGCTCCAGACAAAATGCACATAAAACATTTGAAAACATAGCGTGAGAGCAGTGACAGAAGTTCTAGCAACAAAATAACATAAAACAGCTCATATTTGTTGAGCCTTTACTACATTTCTGTCACTGTGTTAGGGTTTAACATATATTCTCTCATTTAATTCTCAGAAAAACCAAATGAGATAAAGCACTATTAATCTTTTCATTTGGCATATGAGAAAAATAAGGGTTTAGAGAGACTAAGTAGCTGATTAGGAGAGAAAAGAAAGCCCTTGGGTGAACATGTCAAAGTGTTCAAACTCAGTCCAGACACATTGATTAAGGGAGATGGATCATTTTGAAGCAACCCTGCAGGCTCAATCACTCAACATAAGTTCAAGAACAAAAAAGGGACTGAGTAAATGAATGGCTGATTAAATATTTTACACCATTAAAAACAGATTTTACTTCCTATGGGC